GGCCACGCCCCCGCGCGCTCCCCCGGGCCACACCCGCCCAGCTCCTCGAACCCGGGGACTCGTGCAGCAGACTCGGGAGAGCGACGCTGCCTGGAGCAAAGAAAAAAATAAATGAAACCCAATCCCGCCCTCGCTCCGCCAGCCAATCTCCTGGGCGGTCTGATAGAGGAGAGCTCAGAGAACACAAGACTAGAAACGCCAACTAGAACGAAGATGAAATATTTCCCGATAAATCTAGGTCCTCGATTCATAGGACTTGGAATTCAAATCGCATGAAATGGTATCTCGGCACAATATAAAAAGGCAAAAATTGTTTATAGTTAACTATCCCGGTGCAGAGGCTTAACATGAGGTTTTAAGAGCGTTCATGAAAAGTTACTTTTTAACTGCTTCATGCCACTGCTTTGAAACATTTTTCTGAACATGACGATTCTTTGAATTTAGAAGTCACAAAAGTTACATTCCAACCTTATCACGTTCTTGTCATCACAGTAAGGTCCAATGTAGTCTCTTGTCACCCTTTAGCATTTTTTAATTGATTTTTAGAGAGAGGGGAAGGGAGAGGGAGAGGGATAAACATCAGTGTGACGAGCCGCCTCCCGCGCCCGCAGCTGGGAGAACCCGCTGCGAGTCCCGCACAGGACACCGCCCGGCCCACGCAGCCGGGCCCTTAGCACCCTCGCAGCATATTTTACTTCAGTACTTTGTATCTTTTAGGGCCCACTTCTGGAATTTCTTTAACACATTTCTCAGAGAATTACTAAGGCAAGAGTGGTCAGGGGAGCTTCTCACGAGGAAGACAGAAAAATAAAGATTTTAAGCGATTTTTAAATGACAAAGGAATTTTGTGAATTTACAAAAGGAATTCATTAGAAACCAACAAGCAAAGGGCCAGATGCATTTTCTTTTTTTTTAAGCCTCTTTCTTTTGATTGCGGTTACATTGGTTAATAACATGTATGTTTCAGGTGTGCAGCATTATCATTTGCTATCTGTATACACTGTAGCGTGCTTGCTACCAGAAGTCTAGTCTGCCTCCTTAACCACACATTTCACCTCTACACATTGTGTCCGCCCTTCACCCCTCTTCCCCTCTGGTAACCACCAATCTATTGTTTAATCTATGAGTTTGTTTTTATTTCTGTTCATTTGGGGTTTTGTTGTTGTTGTTTTATATTCCACATATGAGAGAAGTCATATGGTTTTTGTCATTTTCCCTCTGGCTTATTTCACTTATCATAATACCTTCAAAATCCATCTGTGCTTTCACAAATGGAAACTTTGATCTTTTTTATGGCTGAGTAGTATTCCTGTGTGTGTGTGTGTGTGCGCATGTGTGTGCATGTGGGTGGGTGTGTGTTGTGTATGTGTGTATACTGCATCTTCTTTATCCACTNGTGTGTGTGTGTGCATGTGTGTGCATGTGGGTGGGTGTGTGTTGTGTATGTGTGTATACTGCATCTTCTTTATCCACTCATTGTCGATGGACAGTTAGGTTGTTTCCATTTCCTGGCAATTGTAAATAATGCTCCAATGAGTATAGGGGTGTATATATTTTTCCAAATTAATGTTTTTATACTCTGGATAAATACCCAGAAGAGGAATTGCTGTATCATATTCATTGTCTAAACGTAATTGCCTCCATACTAAGCCTGAGAGTGACAAGAGAGTCTCTGCACCTACAGTCACATGAAGACAGAAGTCCTCCAATAAAAAACTATTTAAAAGCATCAGGCGGAGCGGGTATTATAAATACCTTCACCACTTAAAGGGAATTTAATCTCAAATTTGAACCCTTGCCAAGAGATAGAGAGGAATAATTTTAAGTCTTAGTTAAGCGTCATGAGACGTCTAATGACCATTTGATATCAAAGGCAGTACGTTCAGCAGATTTCTTGCTTTTAAACCATTCCAGGGCAATGGCTGAGATACTTCAGTGAAATAGCGCTCACTTGGCTTTTGACATCAATTCCATGAACACTGGAATTTTTTTGAGAAGCTCTCTTAATAAATGAGAATTGAAAAAAATAGCTGCTTTTAAATTCAGGCAAAGCTTTATTTGTGTATGGGGGGTGGAATTCCCCATGAATTTCTTCTCTAGCTACCAGGTGTGGAAAGACTGCTTGAAAATCAGCTGTATCTATGAGAAGAAAAGATGGTCATGAGGATGTGCACAGTGCTTAGGTGCCCGACAATATTCCAAGTGCTTTCTATGGATACTAATTCATTCATTTAATCTTTGTAACAACCCTATAAAGTAGTTACTTTATCACTGTTCTACAGATGAGCAAATGGGCACAGAGAGGTGTAGTGACTTGCCCAAGGCCAAAAGAGTTGTTAGGTAGAGGAACCAGGAATTAAACCCAGGCATCACAATCCAGAACTCATGCTATTAACCACAGGCTCTCCTTGGTTACTCCATGCCATGCCAGGGAACCTACTGAATTACATTCAGTAACATCAAAGACCATTTATTAACTTATCAGATTTTTTACTACTAAATATACGTAATTTTACCTATAGAATTTTATTCTACTAGAATCCCATCTATGTTACTATAAGTCTAATATATCCCCATATTTTTCCAAAACTTTTTTCCTTACCAAGATGTCTTTTGATAGATTTGATCACTATAGAGCATTAGCATTAAAAGACTTTTTAGAGATGACCTGGTTCAGTTATTTCACTTGGAATCTCTAAAACAATTTGTCTTACAAGGGTAAAATCACAAACACAACAGAGAATTATCGATGGCTCAGTAAAAACTAATCAACTAACAAATACTGATTGTACACATATTATATATACTATATATATTTAAACCCACTAGGCTATGCACAATGGGGATTACAGAGACATTTAAGCAAGATCTCTTCTCAGCATTTTTGCAATTTATTTCAACAGAACTATTAGGTCGTAAATTGTATAAAGAAATGGAGTAGAGTCTAAAGAGAAAATAAATATATTTCATCCATATAAAATGTCTCCAATTACAAAAAATAAATATTTTGTTTCTACCTCTCATTTCCTGTCACTACCACTGTGAATGAGCCATACAGTGGCTTCAATGGGCTTCTTTTCCTATCAGTGTCCCTCTAACAGTCACCCAAAAGGACAGTATGCAGCAGCTATGCTGTGAAGCTTCAAGACAAGTTTCCTTCTTCCAACCAGAATACAATACCTAAGTGCCTTTTATATAAACATTCTAGAGCAACCTCTACACACCATACTATAATCTTCAATTTACATGTAAATATTACAGATGAAGCTTGGGAGGAATTTCCACAATTTGATAGTGGGGGTACCTCATTTTTCAAAGGTCATACAATAAACATTTATTGAATGCCTTTTATGTACTAGGGACTGTGTTTTTGCTTTCAAAATAGCAATACCCTTACATAGGAAAGATCTCTAAATGGTCGTTATTTAATACATCTTACTAATCTTCTAAATGCAATGCTTCTAGGTAACTGTTTACAGTGTGACAACTCAAGACCCTGTGAAGAGAAATAAACACCAGTATGGTTTAGATGATATTAATGATATCGCGTTGCCTTTAACCATGATTCTGCCTTAGGCTAAGACTGGCCACTGTTAGATTACCCTCAGAAGCGGGTTGGGGTAACTTCTGTACTCAAACAATAATAATAGCTAATATTTATTAAGTGGTTACAAGTATTATCTCATTTAACATTTCAACCGCCCCATGAGACAGTTACTATTATACTACTAATGAGGAATCAGATTTATAGAGATTTAAAGTAACTTTCCAAAAGCCAGAGATCTGATAAATGCCCAATGTTTAGCCAGGCATGCCATCTTCTGCAGTCCTTTAGCTACTACACTCTCCTGCCTCTGACAAACCAAGTACCTGTTCTGTGGCCCCTTGACTCAACCTACCTTATATGGTAGAAACTCAAGTCCTCACTGCTATTCCTCGTAGACAGACAGGCAGACTTCATCTTTATGGTGGTCCAGAGACCTGCATGGCTCTAACCTTGGCCCAACAGCACCTCCTTCAGCAGCTGGCCAAGGTACCACTTCCTTCTCCCTACTCCCCCACTAATCTTTTAATCATGAGAACTGCACTGCAAGGACTAAACCTCAATGTACTGCCTTGATATCCCTGAGCCTCGTGGGGGCCCGAAAAGTCTAGCCTTAGGTTCTGCTCTTGCCAGATATGCGCGCGCGCGCACACACACACACACACACCCCTCACCCAGCAGGAAAGGCTCCCTCCCTGGCTACCTCGCCTATCAGCCAGACCAGCTCCATCCCACCTTATCTTCAACCTAACCAATCCCCCTACCAGCCTGTGACATTCTCAAACAAGTCAATCACATCCTTGCATGAGAACAAGGGTCATCTAGCCCTCTTGTCACTACAAAGCCTGCCTTCCACAGCCCTTGCTGGTTCATTTTGCTCCCAAGTGC